GGCATTAATTTCTTCTAGCTCAGAGAAACAAAATAATTAGACTGTGCTCAAGAAATGAAAACATCAAATGCAACATATATAATTTATAAGGTGAGTTCCAGATGTAGAAAAAAATAATTGCTTAAATCAGATATTTGAATGTATATCTACATTTGAGAAATATGAGCCTAAAACAACTCTCAGAACAGACATTTATGAGTTTACTATAAATGTCAGGATCCCTGCCTCCCATGACTGGGTACTATACCTGAACCATATACAGGTAGTGAGAATCTGTGCTCAGGAGGTTCTGGGAGTTTCCTGATGCTTTTCCCTGGCTCAGTTTCAATCACCATAAAAGCAGTGCATCTAAAAAATGTTAATCATATGTTACTCGTTAGTTTTAGTCTTTATCTGAAAGCAGAGCTGATGTCAAAGTCTTAGGTGCAGTTTATTTGGAATAAGATCCCTGAAACCAGGTGCCACAGGTAGTCTAGAATTTTAAAATTTTAAGAAAAAAAAATAATTGGCTAAATTTAAAAAAATAGTAAAAGGGGGAAATATTTTGAGTTGATTTTAAAAGGAGCAGCTAGAATGAATTATTCCAGAGGCCTTCACAGGCTGTTGGAAATAACTCTTAGACTTTCCACCCCTGGCTTGATCATCAGGGGAAAACTTTCTTCACCAGCATTTATCTTTCATCATTCATATCTTTCATTGAAGTTCTATAATTTCCTGGATTTTCATAACTGAAGAAGAAAAAATGACCGTGGGATCCTTCTGTTATCTTAGTGTAACCTTTGAGATAGAGACCCAGGTCCATAGCCCAAAATGTATAATGTATAGTGCAGAGAAGATGCTTCTTATGAAAGTGTGTGAACCTACCACCATACTGCGTGACATGGTTCTGCCTGGGATCACATTTGATGGATAATGACAATATGAGAGTATTTTCATTGATATGTAGATAAACAACAGAAACCAACATTAAAATCCTTTTCAGACAGACAGAGAAGAGACTCAAAAGTGGTTATGAAAATGTTATATAAAATGGATTGTAGCAGCTACTTAAAATATGTGCATGTGCATTATAGCAAGAACTTGAGTGGAGTTACCCTATAATGGCAAGAAAGCGCCCTTAAAATACAATGCAAGTTAGAAAATAAAAATCTTAATTCCAGGAAAGGACTCCCTCACTTGGATCTGTTCACCAGGGGTTTCCCATAGACCCTCAAACAATACTTGCTATGGTCATTGCTCTTGGTCACCCATAAAAATTGATGTGATGGTAGGATAGTACATAGATGAGTCATCCAACAGAAATGATGAAATCAAGCTGGTACTGACTCCAAAGCTTCATTGCTACTGGTTCACTTTCAGAGTGCTGGAACAGTTTATGTATGCTGCAGAATAAAAAGTAATTGTCAAACTTGCCCAACTGTGATTTCACAAGCTACAATAATAAATGACATGGCAAAATACACACAATGGTATGATAGCAGTATAAATGTTATGGGAGCAAACAACCACTTTCTGGTTGGATTTAAGGCCCACTTCTCAAAATGTAGTCCATACCTGGCACTGTTATCAAGATTAAGAACATGTTGTTAGACAAGTCACAGGCCACAGGGAAGAGCCTGCTACTGTTATTCTGCTTATGTGGACACAGTATCAAACTCTCTCATAATGACTAGAAAAAGTGGATACCAAAGGCAAATACATCTCTCAACTCTCACCAGAAAAACCTCTAGATAGTGATAATCACAAAGATCCACAACTAGTCAATGTGCAGAAATTAAGACTGTAGTGTGCTTAGCTCTGAATGGGTCACTATACCCTCTTCTTTCAAGGCTCTTGGATGATTGTTGAAAAAAAGCCAGAAAGATTCTAAGAACCAGAGGTAGAGGATGAAGGATGATCACAAGGAAACAGCGATTTCCAGACAGTGAGGCAGTTACTCAAATGAACGCAAAGCAATCATGAAAAAGATGGACTAGACCTATGCAATCCAATCTCAAGCCAAAAAAAAATCCCAGCATGGAGGGGGTGAAGAGGAGACTCACCAGACCTAATCTCAGGACCTGTAAGCAACTGAGAAATGTTGAGAGAAGAGTTTATTTCTTTAAAGGTGTGATGCTGGATAGCTTGAAGAAGCTCCAGGAGGTGGACTCACACAGAAGAACACTTCAGAGGCAAATTAGACTTGATAGGCCTTAAAATATAGTAATAGAGGACATGAGATCAGGGGTTGTTGTAAGATGGAGTAGCAGCAGAGGATGGAGTTGAATATAATCAAAGTACACTTTATGAAATTCTCAAAAAATCAATAGTAAAAACTTTTTAAAAGAGTTCGAAACTTTCCTAACATTGGAAATTAATGCCTGGTAAAAGCTGAATTCCTAAAAAATGTCAGTTGCTTGTCTTGCTGAGCCATTTTATTTTCAAAAAATAAAAAAGAAAAAAAAATCTTGTCTGCTTGAGGAGTCTTTTGTCTGCTTGAGGAGTCTTTGGTGTTTATACTACTATGGAATTTGTTTCACTTGAAAAGATTTAATCTTTGGCATCTGTCTCATTGGCCACATACTGAGGACCTACAGTAAAGAGTAAAAATAGGGAGTTAGAAAGATGGGTCAGTGGTTAAGAGCATTGGCTGCTTTTTATGAGGATGCAGGTTTGATTCCCAGCACCCACATGGTGGCTGACAACTATCCTAACTTCAGTTCCAGGGGATCTGACGCCCTCTTCTGAAGATACACATGAAATAAAGATAATAAATAATTTTTTTAATTAAAAACAATATTTTTTGAAAAAAGTAAAAATAAAACAATTTAGATTTAGGAAAAAGTTTTATGAGGGGGGTGCTTATCTGTTTCAGAAAAATTTTTGTTAACTCATCTATTTTTTTACTAAAGGTTAGATTGATAGGAAAATATCTGATTGTAACTGAGGAAGGAAAAAAAAAGCAACAAAGTTGAGTGCTCTTCTAAATCTTTTATTTAAATGCCATGATACAATCATTTGTCAAGATTTGTGACACTTTGTATTACTGTGATAAGAGTAATATAGATTGCGTAGCTTTAATTGGGATCCTTGGGGCATGACCAAAGATGCAAATTGATGGAATTAATTATATATTTGAAACACTTGGCAAATTTGACATAAAATTATTTTACTTTATACTTAGTGATTTTTTTATTAATTTGAGTGGCATTTTATCTACTGCTGCTCTAGGTTTTTTTTTTACTTTTTATGAATGTATATTTTTATTGAAATTTTTTATTTCATACAATATGTCTTAATCATATCTATACCCCCTCCCTTATCTGCACCCCTCCATAGCTCATCCGTAGGATTCCATGTATAATGTCATATATGTAAAAGCCTAGGGAGTCAAGTTTGTATACCCGGCTATCTCTAGATGTGAGTTTATCCACTGATGCCTGTTCAGACTGTATAGTGTCACTCCCTTAAAGAAAACCATCTCTCTGTCACCCAGCAGTGATCGGCTGCCAATAGTTTCTCCTCAGTAAAGGTGGGGGGCCTCCAAGACCTATACAAACTCAATCAGACAAATACCAGCATGGTACTGAGGTTGTTTTACATTTTAAGTGTGTGTCTAAAATATTGTATTTTGAGGCGTGAGAATGGTTTAGAACAAATGAAAAGTTGAGTATCATATTGATATAGCACTACATCATTTCATCTGTTAATATTATCTAAACATTCAAATCAATCTCTATACTGCATTATACTCTTTTTAGTATACGTTTGTGTGGAAAGGGCTAAAGACGGGCTAGTGAGACATTATTTAGATACAGGTAGCATACGATTGCTAAAATAAAAAGCCCTTATTCTTAAATATGCAAACAACTGATATAATTTTGTTAATCCCACATACCATGCCCAAGAAAAAATACCCTTATGAATTACTGATAATCCACCAAAAACAGGTTTTATTTTTAAAACAGTATAAGCAAGATTTGACGTACTCAGATGTCCTGCATTTTCATCCTTCTCATGATTCCTCCCCAAGTAAGTGTTAATGAAAAAGAAATCTTGAAGGCCTTTGTATCCTGAAGGAGCTCACTAGGGCCGGCGAGGGAAACCCTGTGTTAAAAGTTGATATCCCAGTCTCCTAGGAATCCTTGTTTGTTTTTTTTCCTTCAGGCTCAGTTACTCTCTAGGACAGTTCATGCTTCAGACAGCAGTGAGGAAGGCCAGAGTCAACTCGTGTCCTTAAATGCTACAACAGTTTTGTCCATGCTGTCACAAACACCTGAGAACCCAGCACCACCCCAGGCCACATGTTGGATACCTGGATCTAAATTTGTTTCGGGCCTTGTCCCTGTGTGCTTATTCTTTAGCTCCATTTACAGTTAACACGTTTTCGCTTTGCCATCACCACTCCTATCACTGCCCTGCTCCCTCTTTTCCTATGTTTAATGATATTCATTTTGGCTTATAATATTCCTTTGTGAGTGGAGGTAAAAGATGTAGTTAATACTATGTAATTTGTGTAGAATAACTTTGAAAAATGAGAAAGGATGCTGCTCCGCAGTAGTTTCCACAGGAAATTCATGACGGTGCTTCCAGTTCCTTAACATAAATGGAGGCAAATTATTCTCATTCCGTAGCATGTAACTAAAAGTACTTTCCTCATACCATCCTATGACAAAACATAAAAATTAGGTCAAGAGGAAAAGGAGGGATTTTCCTGGACCTTTAGTGTAAAGCGCTCATAACATTTCTGACATACGGGTAGCTCTTTTTTTTTCCCCAGTAATAGTACATTTACAACATCCATAAATGTACTGTGCAGAAATCTATTCAAATATAACTACAATTACATAGGACTTACTGAGTGGCAGATTCACTAAGGATGAAGCAGAGACCTGACAACGATGACCGTGTCGGGTACCACACCTATTGCCTAAAGTGCATAAATGTTTCCATTTACAAGGAGACATGAAAACTCAAGAGTCTTCCAGTTACATCCAGCTGAGCTCACATCTCCTCTCAACATGGCTGACAACTGGTGCCCTGGAAACTTCTCCTTCCCCTCCACTACATTGTATCTTCCTTGCTCAGGTTCCTCCTATGGCTCTTCCTACCCCAGCAATAGGGTCTACAGCACTATTAGCTGCCGTCCCAGCACCTGCCTGCTGGACTCCTCTCTTCACTGTAATTGTCAGAAGGTTTTCAATGAGCCCACCAGCTGCCAGAAGTCCTGTGTTTCACCTAACCCCTGCCAGGGGTCCCAAGGGGCGACCTTGTCTTGCCTTCCCTGCCACCTGACTCACTCTGGATGTGTAGGCTTTGTATCCAGCTGTTTCCCTTCAGAGCATTATCAATATAGAAGTGGCTAATCAGTGGTTTATAGACCAAGTGGCTTCAGATCTCTGAAATTATGGAGTCTGTCTTCCCATACCTGAGTTATGGGACAAGATTATTCTGCCCAACCTACTTGGCTCATAGTACCTGGCAACCTTCTTATGTACCAATCTATGGAGCAGGTCTTGATGCATTTAACTATTAATTCTCTGCATTCTTAAAATATTGAAGCTGAAACCTCGCATTCTTTGCTCCTCTTTTCTTGATTTTTCCTGCTACTCTCCTATCATCCTTCCATTAGCAGCTCCTTTCATCATCATATTCTGGAAGATTTTGAGAATATTGTGCAACCCCAAATTATGCCTGACTCCCTGTACTATTGATATTTACATATGATATTTGGTTTCTATTCAAAAGCAGGGGAAAATGAAAATCTTAATCTAATACATTTTTAAAAAATAGTTAATTGAATTTTTAAAATTATGTGTGTGAGCATATTGCCTGGATGTATGTAGGTACACCCATGTTGGGGCAGTGCCTCCTGCAGAGGTAAGAAGAAGGTATCATATCCCCTGGAACCAGAGTTATGGATGGTTGTTACCCACAATGTGGGTGCTGGGGATTGAACTTGGGTCCTCTGCAAAAGAAGACAGTGCTTTTAGCTGCCAAGCCATCTCTCCAGGCCCTCTAATACATTTTTGAAATCTGTCATCTCCATTGATTCTTCACTTTGTAATTATTTTGTTCATAGTTTTTTCATTTACAATTTGGGGAGACAACATTAAAGATCAATATAATTCTGTCACTGCTTTTGTGAACAAATAAACTTGGCAAATGGGTATGATTTTTTGGGGAGTAGCCAATTCAGGAACATTGACATTTGCATTTGCAAACTGGATAGAATTCCAGAATGAATTGCTTGAGTCTGTCATGCTTGAATTTCTTCTAACTCAGAAAAACAAAATAACTAGAATGAAATCTAGTAATGCAAACATTAAACATAAGATACAATATAATTTATAGGGTGAGCTCTATACATAGAAAAATAGTTGCCTAAGTCATATGTTTGAATGTATATTTTCAGATAAGCAAAAGGTGAGCTTTAAGTACCTCTGAACTGACTGAACTGACACTTACTTAGTTATCATAAGTGCTACATCCCTGCCTCCCATCATTGGGGTACTATTCTTGGACTATACTTATATCAGGATAACTACAATTATCTGGGGTTAAGAGGTGCTGGAAAACCTCCTGATGCTTTTCCAAGACATGACTTCCATCAACATAAAGTCAATGTATCTAAGAAATGCTGATCAAATTTTCCTCATTAGGCTTAGTATGTTTCTAAAAGCTGTTATGAGACTTCAGAAAAATAAAGGACTTCAGCCATTTAAAGATTTCTGGTAATGAAATGTTTTTCCCTGATGATGACCCATGGGTGGTGAATTTCAATAGTTTTTCCAAAAGTCTCCAAGAATCCCTGTAATACTGCATTCCAATTACTCCTTGTAAAAACTGACTCAAAAATTTTGTCCTTTTTTTAAATAGATATTTCACATTAAATCTTTTCTTTTTCTTAAAATGCTAGAATGTTTATGATTCCTGGTTTTGAGGTTCTTATGCCAAACTTCACTTCAGGGAGCTCGCAATCTAGATGCAGCAACTCAGTGGACTATGGATCAAGTGGCTTCAGAGTTTTGAATTATGGAGTCTCTTCTGTCCCTTCACTGAATTATGGGACCAGAATCTGCTAGCCAAACTATGTGGCTTATAGCAACTGTCAACTTTATGTGGCCCATAGAACCCGTAGGCCTTCTTGTTACGTATCAACCTGTGGGTTAGTCTTCTGTGGATTCCTCTGTTAAGTCTCTGTATTCTTACAACACTGAAGTTAAAATATTTACGATGTGCAACTCTTGTTCTCCTGCTTAGTCTCTACTACTATCCTTCAATAACACCTTTCATTCTGTATACTTTTTAGAGGCTCAATGGGACAGGCTCTCCCTGTAGTCTCAACTGGCCTTGAACTTAATATGTAGACCAAGCTGGCCTTGATCTCACAGAGATCTACTGTCTCTGCCTCCAGAGAGTTGGGTTTCAAAGTGAACACCACCAAGCCTGTCTGTACTCTTGAGATTCTTGAGATGTACATATGGTATTTGGTTTTCATACAAGAGTAAATGCAATAGGAATATATCAATTTAATAAATTATAGCAATGTAACATTGTCATGTATTGTTCAATTTAATTTTTGCATTTATAAATTTGGGATACCAAATTAAAATTGCTATGGTTCTTAAACTGTTACTGTGAACAAATATCTTGGCATTGGGTATGATCCTTCTTTGGCATAGTCAGTTCTATGCAGATTGACATTTACATGTGCAAAGTGGGTACAATGGTATTAGTAATGGCCTGAGACTGAAGCATGTGACTCTCTGTTGACTCAGGGAAAAAAAGTTAGCACGAGATTTAGAAATGCAAACATCAACAAGAGATTCTATGTGATTTATAGGGTGAGGACTGTACATGGGAAAAATAATTAGTAAGTCAAATGTTTCAATGTAAATTTTCTCCAAGAGCAAAGTGACTCTAAAATTATTTTCAGAACAGACATTTACTTAGTTACTATAAATGTTGACCCACCTGCTTCTCATGGATGGGGTATTATTCATGTAAATCCTCTCCCTGCATGTATAAGGAGGATCACAATGATCTGGGTTCAGAAGGTATTGGGAACTGGATGCTACTACATGAAATCTCTGTCAGCATAAGCGCAATGAATGCATTTACGAACCCTCAAACAGTTTTTAAGTCTGAAAACAAAATTGAATTCAAAATCGTGACTGAAGTTTGGCAATAGATTCTCAAATCCTGATGTCACATGTATTCTGGAATTTTGAGGAAAAAAGAAAATAAATTAAGAATAAAATTCTAGTAAAAAGGGCAACGTTTTAGAGGTGAATCTATAAGGAGCAACTGGAATGCAGATTCTCTTAGGGACTTAAAAAAAAAAAAACTATTGGCATTTTCTAAACCTGGAATGATCTCAGGGTCAAATATTTCTTTTCCAGCTTCTGTCTTTCATTAGTTGAAGTTCTGAAATTTCCGGGATTCTCATACCTGCAGAAGGAAAGGATGGAGGTGCAGCCCTTCTTTTAGCCTAGTGCCACCTTTGTAGATACAGGCCCAGGCACATAGCTAAAGCAATATAGTGTGCACTTCAGGAAGCTGCTGCCTGTGAACGATGTATGAGCTCACATTACTAACACTGGGTATAATGTTTCTACTGGGATCATCTTGGCAGCATGCTACATGGAACAAATGGAGAAAAAGACCACTGAGTCTTTCAGACAGGAAGCAAAGAAGGCACGAAGGAGAGGCAAAAGAGATTTGAAACTTTCCAAAGTTTATAAATCAAAGCTTAGCAAAACTTGACCCCTAAAATTGTCCATTTCTTTTCTTTCTTCAATTATATTTTTAATATACGACTCCTATTCGTAATCAAGTAGTCTGTGGAGTTTCGTCTATTACAGAAATTGCTTCTTTAAACTTTTTTGTCTATTTCATTAGATCACCTAAGGAAACTGAGGTAAATAGTAAATATAAAAATAAATTTAGATTTAGGGATAGTTTCACCAAGTTAAACTGATTTGTTTCAAAAACATTTTTGTTAATTATTATCTGTTATTTTGCCAAATGTTATATTTATAGAAAAACATTTAATGACATCTAAGGAAGAAAATTCTAGCAAACAAGTTCTATGAGATATCATCTTCATTTGGATTATTATCAGATGTTCACATTCAGGCATCAATAGAATTAATAGTCAATTAACAAGATTACATATAGAGAGACAATACATATAGAGAGAGATTACATATGCCTATATAGATATGTATATAAAGATTCTCTATGTATATATAGATAGATATACGTTACATACATATAGAATACATATATTACATTTTACATTTTAAAACTCCACTTTGATTAATATAGTATTGCAATTGAGTTGGAAATAATATTGACTGATGTATTTATCACAATCACAAATGTATTTCTTCATACAATTCTGATTTTATTTTATCTGTCACATATCATTGATCAAGATTTGTGTCTTTTATTATGCTGAGACAACACTAGCAAAGGTTTGCATAATTTAATTAAATCCTTGGAACCTGATTAAGAACTCAAATTGATAGAACTAATTATGTATTTGAAATACTTGGCAAATCTGGTATATAACTGATTTTATTAGCCACCTAGTGATTTTTTATTCAGCTAATGGAGTGGTGTATTATTTGCTATTGTTTTAGGTTGTTTTATGTTTTAGATATGGTTTTAAATAGGGTATTGATAGGAGTGAAAGGTTTTAAAACAAATGAAAATCTGTTCATATATCAACACATTGTTCCATCAGCTAATATTAACTAAACATCATAAAGCAATCTTGTTATTTTATTTTTACTCTTTGGGAATATGCACTGGTTTGTGTAGAGTGCTAAAGATGGGCCTGACAGGTACTATTTAGATACAGGCTGCCTACGGGCTCTGAAATACAAGTCCAGATTTCATAAATAAGTACATAACAAAATTTTCTTTGCCAACCCCACATGGCATGCCCAAGAAAAAAAAAATCCATCTGAATTTTCTGAAATACACCAATAAATATTTTCTTCTCAAAATACATTTTAATGTGATTTGATAAAAACAGACTTCCTGCATTTTTTTTATTACACCAGATTGTTTCCTAACACAGAAATGAGCATAAAGAGAAAAATTCCCTAACTTTGACCGTGACAGTCTCCTAAGAATCTCTCCAAGTTCTCTGTATTCAAACAATGCCATAGGAAGTGAGCTGTCTATAGAAAACACAGTGTGGAAGTCCATAGGCAACTAAACTTCCTGTGGCTCAAGGTGTTAGAATTGAAATCTCTGCCCTGACACAGAAATAGATAAGAATCCAGTACAACCTGGGGCGTTACATCAGATATACTGGATCTAAAGTTTGTCTCCTGCTGTCAATGAGTTTCTAAATCTGCAAAACACTCAAAGATAACATTATGTCATCTGTATTAAAAAACTTTTTCCCAGAGCATGGATAGGCAACAATATAATGTCCTTAACTACCCCCCATCTTAAACTGAATAGTGGATTCCAATGACAGTCTTCCTGAATACTCTGAAAGTCTGTTGTTCTGTTCCAAGAAAGTGTCAGATGATCACAGAAATTTCAAACTAAGAAGACACTAAAGTCAAATATTGTGGTGTTTCTAAGCCACATTATGATTATGTTTAATAAAGAAACAGCCTGACTTGGCATTTAATTTTAAGGCCTGGAGTGGACCTGAACTCTGAGAACTTGTTCCTTCAGCCTCCCCTCGAATTCTGCTCCCTAGCCAGGCTTCTCTCATTCTTTTATTGAAACAGTGTCTCCAGCATGAAATGGGAAGTAAAAATCAGTATCTACCCTTATCAGAAAGTCTTAACTTTGATTCCTAGACCTAGAATAGTGCACACAACAGCAAAGGTTTCTATCATGTTTGCAATGAGGAAAACATGTTGCTTTTGGTGCTTTGATACAGGAAGCATGCATACGTTCATTCACTGTCTTGGGAGAAGGACAAGGAGGGGTCCTGAGGGATCAGAGGAGCACAGGGCTCAGTGAACTTGTTTATATTATAAAGAGGAACTTTTGGTTGTAAGGTTAGGTGATGTCTTTAGGCCAGATTATGCCCCTATTGCAAAACTCATTCCTACAAAACGCAAGCAAGGACTAACAAAGAGCATGGAAAGATTCCATTCACTTGTATTAATTGTTTCCTCAACAGATCCACGTTGGGAACAATTGCATGGACAGGAGGCACCAATTAGTTAGCTGCCCTCAGTCTTTAGTCATTCTCTCTGTGCCATTCCATTTCAGTATCCTGGAATTCTTCTATGGAGCCTCCCTATGCTTTTCTACCTCTGATAAACTTGATGGAGCTGGCACAGGCTGCTCTGCACTTCACAGGGCCAAAGGAAAATGAACCCCTTCTTTCCCCTACCGAATCTCTGGATCTGATAGACTTTGGGTTGTCCTCACGACTGTATCAGCAAGCTGTTGCCTCTCCATGGTCCATACATGGCTGCTAGGGGAAACCTTGATTGGGCAAACTCTCACTATCCCTAGCACAAGCTTTTACAGGATGGAAATGTGCCGTGGTAACTCTGGGAGGATCATTACCCACCCCTGGAGCAATCTTGATCTTCTTTACCTGTGTTTTTTTTTAACTTGGATGCCTTCTCTGAACGTTTCCTCAGCCTTTAAAGCCTTCCAGGATCCCCTCAGCACAAAATTTTTGGTAACTCTGGGAGGATCATTACCCACCCCTGGAGCAATCTTGATCTTCTTCACCTGTGTTATTTTAACTTGGATGCCTTCTCTGAACGGTTCCTCAGCCTTTAAAGCCTTCCAGGATCCCCTCAGCACAAAATTTCGTTGTCAATTTTTGTCCTCAGGAACTTGGGCTCAACACAAATCTTGCCTACTTCCTCATGTCTATGCTGGGATATTTTCTGGCTTGAGATTGCATAGAACTTGTGCAGACTGTCACCTTTGCTGTGAGTTCATGTGGAGTAACTGATCAGCTGTCTGG